CACAATCACTTAATGTATTTTTAATCCAACGTGTTGTTACTACGTTAGAAAAATTCGTGGCCCCGGAAAGGGCCGATTGTTCTCAATTTTTCAGATATTTTACGTAGCCAAACACTTGCACAGCAGCACCTGCATATCCGTTATTCTGTACGTACCACCAGAAGAATGCGTAATACTCCCGTGAACTGAACATCTCTCTCGCCCGATTGCTAACCAACTGACAGAATTTTTCCGAAAGGGCTTCCTCTACCCCCAAGTAGTTTCCCATCGTTACATTGTGACTTTATTCCCACCACGACAATATTTAGGTAAAAAGAAACCAACGGTTCGAGGATAACACGTGCTTTGCAGAAGTGGAAGAAAGAACCGTCGCGCAGTTTCACTTTATTACCACGGTACCTACTACCAGGGTAATAAAATTGTCGATTGTCAATTCTGTTGTGAGTTCACGGTTGCTACGAGGCCGAAGATTTTGAGCCATAAATCACCGAAAATTCCGCTCCGGCCTCTACAAGGGTGGTCGGCCAGGGCCAAGCAGCGTCAACTTACACGTGTCGATAAAATTTTGTCCCTGCTCCTCGAGAAAAAAAATGTACATTGTGCTTTCCAACTCGAAGCAACGGGCACGTTGGTGGTTCTGTTTATTTCGGATATTCTCAAGCCGATGAACGTGATGTCTGTTTCCTATCTCGAAGCAGTAGGTACCCTGGCAATAAATTAACGGGTTACGCGCCTTGGTGAAATTGCGCGACGGTTCTTTCCTTCCACTTCTGCAAAGCACATGTTATCCTCGAACCGTTGGTTCCTTTTTACCTAAATCTTGTCGTGGTGGGAATGAAGTCACAATGTAACGATGAGAAACTACTTGGGTGTAGAGGAAGTCCGTTCGGAAAAATTCTGTCAGTCAGTTAGCAATCGGGCGAGAGAGATGTTCAGTTCACGGGAGTATTACGCAATGTTCTGGTGGTACGTACAGAATAACGGATATGCAGGTGCTGCTGTGCAAGTGTTTGGCTACGTAAAACATCTGAAAAATTGAAAACAATCGGCCCTTTCCGGGGCCACGAATTTTCCCAACGTAGTAACAACACGTTGGATTAAAAATACATTAAGTGATTGTGTCGGGGGATCAGTGTTAGTGGTCGTGTAGTGAAGTGAGTACGTATTCGGTGGAATAACCAGGACGCACTTGACGTTACAACCCTTAACTTCGGCTGGTTAGGTATACCTGCGATCACCTGCGAACTGGGCGATACTCTGCCATACCCGTTTCGGCCGTCGATGACCAGGATCGGTTCAGTGACCTAGTGACACAGGTTAGCAAACTGCAGGTGAATTTCCAAAAGGGTGAGTTCTAATCAATGCATTGCTGATTATTATTTTCGTAATTTAACGCAAGCTATGGCTTATTTCCGGCGATAATTCTGCAAGTTTCTGTACCTAACTTTTTCTTTGGCCTTTTTGAAGAAACTGTGGCGGCACTACCTTCCTTCCTAGATTCTCCATCAGAGGTCTACCTAGTTGACACCTTTCCCGCAACTTCCAAAAGCCTTCCTCGTTCGTATATATATACGTCCTTAACCGACCATCGTATATCCCCGCGTCTAAGGCAGGGTCTGCTAGAAAGCCTTACTGACGAGTCCACTAGCAGGCCCAGGACGAAACGCTCCCTCTCCCTCTCCTTTCCTTTTCACATTCTCAAGTCAACAGATTACCGCCAAAAAACTTATTCATTATCAGTAACATTGTTAACCGTTATTAAACTACGAATTTTTATACCAATACCGAATTACGATCACTTCTCGTTCATTCTCTGTTACATTACCTTTTCGTTCGCAGGTTGTTTGAAAAGGAAATTTACAAATTCGTAAAAAGGAATTTACAAAAAAGTAAATGTGCATTCGTCTTTTTACGTTACACATAATTTGCCTACATTTATGTTTCACTCATTAATTTCTTTAAACAACAAACGGCAGATGATAAAAAGTATGATTGTATTTATTACGTCTTTTTTATTTGCTATTGTACGCAGTTACCTGCGATGCATGCTGACATACGTGTTTAGAGCTTCGTAGTACAAGCGTAGCGCCGTAGCGCGTAGCCACCGCTAGCGCGGGAACTCAGCTGGCAAACTCGCGCTCTAATTGGTCGGGGTTGTTCGTTAATATCTCGGTAACGAAGCCTCAGATTACATTGTTGCTAAGGAAAAAGTTGTTCCAATTCACCCTCCGAGTGCCCCATTTCCGGGTCAGAGGACATTTTTGGGACACCGTGTGTATCTTTGCGCCTAAACCCGCCCGAAGTTATCGCAGCGTGTGATCTTTCCATCCGTGCCCGAGTGCCCGCTAGAGTTCTGCATTGAACGGGCTGAGCGGGCCTAGCGGGGATTCCACGGGTTGGGCGGGCTAGCACGAATCCGGGCGGGTATGGACGGGTTTGCGGCGCGCATCGTCGGGTCTGCACCGGCCGGGTATAGTTCGGGCCGGGCCAGCCCGGGTAGAGATAAAACGGCCGGGGTGACGAGGCTGAGCATCCTGGGCTCTGGGCTTCCTGAGGGACAGAGTGGGGTACGCGCACGTGTGTGGGAAATACGTGTGAGCCAGTGTGAGCGAGGGACGTTGCCAACATACATTAAGAGGGAGTCCAATTAATGAGCGGCCACTGTATCTCACTAAATATAATCGTTGCGATGGGAATAACTTTAAATTCCGAAAGAGCAAATCGGGAGCAATTTTTTAAGATAAAAATTGTTACGAAATCCTATTATTCCGCGCCAACTATTCTTCGGTGCTCGACCAGCGTGATTTTTGTGGGACACCAAATCCCATAAGATGTTAGGTCTATTTTTATATCTGGTCTGTGCCTCTATCAAGCACTTTTATCAATCGAGTTGTAATTCTTCTTTTTAATTGCCAATTACTAGAACTTACAATTAAACTACATTATTTGAGCTTCAATTTAGGAGCTTAATATATAAAAGGCTTCACGGGAATACACAAAAAAATCAATTCCATTATAAACCATGAATAAGGGCCCTCAGATGCCAATAATAGATACATATGTTTAAACATACTATTTATTGTATATTTATAATAAAGTACATCTATTTACAAACGTGTGCATTACAAAAATATATTCACTTGCACACTTAAGCGTGTGCTTCAATCAACACAATAGACACAGAGTGAGGTAGAGAGAGTTAGAGCAATACAATCCTTTATAGTCTATAGAACCACAAGGGTATTGAAAAATATATATTTTCACACTAAATACAGTAAAACATAGTGTACTAACGTTTTCTTCAACAATAGTGCAAAACACTTATAATGCGAACACGTTTCGACACTTCAACACATTGAGGTTTCTTATAATTACTCAACAATAACAGTATATATTTATATTTTGGATAAAACATTACTTCACATCGATCATTCTGCACTTTTACTCATAACTAAACTATACATGTTTATGCTTTATAACAAAAACATACTAAAATAAAAACTTTAATAGAAATTAATGAATTCACTGTTCATAAATCTCTCAATAAATAAACAAATTTTTCTTTCATCCTGTTTATTGTAACAGATTGAAAGTGAGAAATATATACCAAAGATTTTATATCACGTTAGTTCAAAAATAAAATAAATTTCTTTTCAGTAATAATATGAATGAAATTTTGAGTATAATTGAGCTTCTAAGACTGCGCTGTCCAACTTGACACTTTATCATGGAGTAACAGAGACAAGAGTCTCATACAAGATGCGATTTATTGTACGACAAATTGTACAAGTGGCATAGGGAGTTGTACAAACAGTTTGAAAGATAGACGACAGATTTTAAGCATACCGTACTGCCGTGCAACCGCGCCACAAGCGTTGTATGTGTCTTTCAAATGATCGAAGCGACATATGTTGTACAATCAGTTGTACGATAAATCGTATCATCTGTGGGCGATTTAAGAAGCTAAAATTTATCAACTTCATGAAAAAGACAGTAAATAGAATCAAATTATGTACTGCTTAACAAATAAAATAAGAAATTTTTCAGAAAATAGAGTTGACCGATATGGCTTCTAAGACTTCAAATTACAAAAATGAGACTGAGATACGTGTAACATATAAAATGAACCTTTTTAGCTAATAAGATTGATTGTAATTCATTGTAATTTCGCCTTTGACTGATTTCTCTCCTTTTTGTTCTTACTATTTCTAACACTATTTTCTGAACTTGTATTAGTTATGCTTAACTTAGGAAATTGTCCGGGAGTTATCTGTGTCTTCTGAATTTCTGAACTTTTCTTATTATTATAAGTCGTTTGTGTAGAGACAGGCGGAGTGGAACGAGCAATAGGGCTCAAAGGTTTCCTGTTACGTTGTAACACAACTGATGATGATGCGAGAGATCTAAAATGCACAATAAAACAGCGTGAGAGTATTACTTATTATGTCCTTTTATTTTATTTAATATTATTTTATTAAAAATTAATACTTTCATATTTGTTATTTACGTATCAAATAGTATTGTAAAATTTACTTTCATAGACATCTACTTCCATAAATTTCATTGTTATTCTCATTCGAATAAGTGTCTATTATTATTTTAAATAAAATGTACCTGATCTTGGTAAGAGGATCCTGGTACATAAAAAACGAATAATATTTTATATACCTGTTCTTAGTACTGGGAAGTTGTGAAGTATCTAATGGAGCAAGTTTTAAATTTTTTGGCCACATTGCAGGAGAAACTGGAGCATGCCAAGCAGATTGATAACTAGAATATTTTGTTGGAGTTGAACTGTTTCCTGCATTTATAAAATTTGGAACATTTTTAATCGAACCTCATTTAGAATAATATTGGTACTTGATTGGTATATTAATAAATGTAATAATTAAAAATTAATAAGAAGGTAATAAATAATTCTTAAATCTAACTTTAAAAAGGTCTAACGTACCTTGGAATGTAGAAATGTTTAGAGATTGTCCCATAAATTTTATAGGAGTAGTCTTTATGGTAGAGAAACTTTCTCTGGTTGATAAAATGTATGGTACAGGGCTGACCACGATTTTCTCATTAAAAACAGTCCCAAGCTTATTTCTGCTAGTATGTGGCCTCAAATGTTTCTCTTCTATAGCAAATGTATCACTCTTTTCGCTTCCTACAATATCATATTTCCTGCAAATACACATTATACATATAATTTATATAATTCAATGCATAATACAACACCAGCATACCTCTGGATCTCTTGTATATCTGTTTGAACAGTTCCTTTTTTAATCGGTATATGATCCTCCATTACCTTGTCCAATGGAATAGTTTCTTCAAACCAATTTAGCTTTGTACTCCTTGCAGAACTCTTATTACTATGAATTGGTGCGATCTGTATTTGCAAAACTCTGTTGAAATCATCATCCAATGAATCAAGTTTGTTCTCGTTATTTGGAAACAATTCAGACATTGTATATTTAAACAGTATATCGAGAATCTTATCCTGTAACGTGCTTTGTGATTTATGTTTCAATAAAGCCTTCCTTTCCTACAAATAACCAATTGTACATCACAAGTTATTTCATAACATGCTTTCAATTGTTACTTTTTACCTTCACAGAATCAGAAAATATTTTGTTGTTGAATAATTTGAAACTATTCTTGATTCGATTAGTATTTTTATCAAGACTTTGGTAGTTAGTTTCAGATATAATAAATGGGTTTCTCCCAACTACTCGCAGGTGTGGTATCTGCTTCCTCCATTGCATACATTCCGCTAGGAGAGCTACGTGAGTTACTTGTTCGCTGCCTTCGTACAATGTACTCTCAATGACATTCCATTGTTGCTTAACCTTTATGGTTGTGCTATCTTCCAGTTCGTATGAAGGAGATATAGGAACAATTGCTCTATTAGTTTTATCCCACGTTGATGACTGACCTTCAACATCTTTCCAGGTCTTTCTTTTCTGTAAACTTGGCAATTGAAAATGTTTGTTTGATTCACTTTCATTGTCTCTATGATCTCTGGCACATAAAAGTTTATCTGATGCTTTGCTACTTTGTATTAATAAACTAAATCTACATCAAAAATGAATAATATACATTAATAGCCAATAAATAATAAATATATAAATGAAAACAGAAAAGATTAAAAGTTTTTAATAGATACATGAAGAAAATTTAATTGCAACACATACGTGCCCCGTTTAGCTGTCCTTTTATGCATTTCATGCTTCTTGATACTGTATCTTTGATAAATCAGCCACTATTTTCATATTAAATCCTTCTCAACCATTAGACGTAACCTTTGACCACAATTTTATTGATTATTTTATTTAAGGAATGTCGATTACTTGAACCTTTAAATTCAGTCATTCTACCGTCATTGTGACATACATGATTCGTCAGTACGCTTGCATAGTTAAAAAGAATATATTTAGTTTTACCATGAAAAATTACTCGATTAATTACTCTACGTCGGTGATGGGTACGTAAAATACGGAAGTATAATACGCGTATGTATATACAGGGTGTCCCAAAAATGTCCTCCGACCCGGAAATGGGGCACTCGGGGGGTGAATTGGAACAACTTTTTCCTTAGCAACAATGTAAACTGAGGCTTCGTTACCGAGATATTAACGAAAAACTGCGACCAATC